GAAGGCGTGAGGTCTTCGGTGCAGCCCCATGAGGCTCGCCAGGGTTACTGCGACGATGCGCAGGAGGCCAAAGGTTGTGCACGTCCACGGCCTACGGCAAGCGGGATGTGAAGACGCGGGGGCGTCTCCTCGACGGTCGGCATCCAGTTTCGGGAGCAGTGCTGAAGCCCCTCGAGGCCAGTTCGGCGAGCTGGTTGAGAGGATGCTTTCTTTGATGGCCGCGCCCACTTCGTTGCGGCGGACGTGCGTGAGCACTCTTCTGGCGGGCTGAAGGTGTCAGCCCGCTTGGCCGCTGAGGGGGTGCTGGGGCCTTTTCGTGTTCGTATGAGGTCAAGCACCTGCGCAGCCTCCCTTTTTCCCCCAACCATCCTGTGGTGTTGGGTCCTCGTTTTCCCCACATCCAAAGTGGGGTTCTTGTTTTCTCTGGACACCCCGCGCAGGAACAGGAACACACACACACACCCACTCACACTCACTCACACTCTCTCATCATCAACCTCATGCTGGGGCCTTTTCGTGTTCGTATGAGGTCAAGCACCTGCGCAGCCTCCCTTTTTCCCCCAACCATCCTGTGGTGTTGGGTCCTCGTTTTCCCCACATCCAAAGTGGGGTTCTTGTTTTCTCTGGACACCCCGCGCAGGAACAGGAACACACACACACACCCACTCACACTCACTCACACTCTCTCATCATCAACCTCATCAGCATCATCGATGATGCTCTCTCACATGCTTAGTCACTCACATACTCATCATCATCATCACTCGCACTCTCTCACACGCTCACGAACATCATCATCATCGGCATCGGCATCATCCTCATTCAAACATCATCATCGCCACCACCACTCACAATCAATCATCATCCTCTTCACCACTCATCTTCACCACCACTCATCATCCTCATCCTCATCATCGTTGAGTAAATTGTGAGGAAGTCTCAGGCGGGAGCCCCCTCCCTATGGGGCCCGCAGATCATGTTGGTAATCCGAGCGGGTCATCGGAAACCTGTAACTGTCGTCACTTTTGGGCTCGTCAAGCCTGAAAATGGAGGAAGTCTCAGGCGGGAGCCTCGTCTGTGAGTGAATTGGGAGGAAGTCTCAGGCGGGAGCTCCCTCCCTATGGGGCCCGCAGATCATGTTGGTAATCCGAGCGGGTCATCGGAAACCTGTAACTGTCGTCACTTTTGGGCTCCTCAAGCTTGAATTTGGAGGAAGTCTCAGGCGGGAGCCTCGTCTGTGAGTGAATTCTGAGGAAGGCTCAGGCGGGAGCCCCCTCCCTATGGGGCCCGCAGATCATGTTGGTAATCCGAGCGGGTCATCGGAAACCTGTAACTGTCGTCACTTTTGGGCTCGTCAAGCCTGAATTTGGAGGAAGTCTCAGGCGGGAGCCTCGTCTCTGAGTGAATTGTGAGGAAGTCTCAGGCGGGAGCCCCCTCCCTATGGGGCCCGCAGATCATGTTGGTAATCCGAGCGGGTCATCGGAATCCTGTAACTGTCGTCAATTTTGGGCTCCTCAAGCCTGAATATGGAGGAAGTCTCAGGCGGGAGCCTCGTCTGTGAGTGAACTGCGAGGAAGTCTCAGGCGGGGGCCCCCTCCCTATGGGGCCCGCAGATCATGTTGGTAATCCGAGCGGGTCATCCAAAACCTGTAACTGTCGTCAATTTTGGGTTCTCGCGCTGCCAGAACGCAGTTCCCAGGCCACATTTTGGACGCAACAATGAAGTTTTTGGGCTCCTCAGGTCGCCGAGGTGCTGCGACAGGGCGCCGAAGGCGCCGACGACGACGGCCAGGCCGAGGCGCGGGCGCGGAGCTTGCTGATGTTCAGGCCCAGCGAAAGGGAGTTCACATGGCAGAGCTCGGGGGCGCACAGCGTGCGCCGCTCGGGGTTCACCCTGACGCACGCGTCCTACCTGACCTCCACGCTGTCGCAGGGCCAGACGCTGCGCAAGGGCGTCACCATCGACTGCGCGAGAGACGAGGACGCTGGCCGCACGGGCATGTCGGACGAGCAGTGGTGGCTGCACCTCTACGTCATGTTCTCCCGCGCCACGTGCATGCGGAACATGCTGATCCTGCGGCCGCCGCCGCGAGAGTTCCTGGAGTGCGGGCCGCCGGCGTCCCTGCGGAAGGCGCTCCTGGAGTTCGACAAGAGAGCGGTTTTGTCCAGGGCGGAGGCGAAGCAGCTCGCGGCAGAGCTGGGCTTCGTGCTGCCTTCCGCCTGAGCGCGGCTGCGCCTCGCTCGAAGCCCGCGGGGTTGTCCCAACGGCTTGGTCTTGCGCGCCAACGGCTCGCGGGGTTGTCCCGACAGCCTGGCCCGCGGGGTTGTCCCAACGGCTGCGCGACGTGACCAGTAGAGAACGCGCCTGTGCTGGCCGTGGCGGCGACGGCGCCGAGGAACATCGACATGCGCGCTCATGCGACAGGAAGGGGAGGAGGTGGCGGGGCGCGGAACAAACAGGGGGGCGAGGATGGGGACAACGTAAGGAGTGGAAGGGGGGCCCGCGCCAAGGCGAGAGGAAATATACGCAGAAGAGACAGCCAGGACGCCTCACCAACCACGAGGACGACGGTGATGGCTTTTTCCAGATTCGCCCAGAGGATTCTTATGTGGGGTTCTTCCGTCGGAGTAATTGAAGAAACGGTCCCCGCGTTCCTTCTCCTCCTTCTCCTCCTCCTCCTTCTCCTCGCCCTCCTCCCTCCTGCGTTCGCATGCCTCCCCGCCACCCATTTCGGCACGCCCCTCATACGTTTCGTGGCCCCATAGGGAGCTCCACCGAAGGCCCCAGTGGCTGCGTTCGCATGCATCCCCACCGCCCATTTCGGCACACCCCTCACACGTTTCGTGGCCCCATAGGGAGCTTCACCGAAGGCCCCAGTGGCTGCGTTCGCATGCCTCCCCACCACACATTTCGGCACACCCCTCACACGTTTCGTGGCCCCATAGGGAGCTCCACCGAAGGCCCCAGTGGCTGCGTTCGCATGCCTCCCCACCACCCATTTCGGCACACCCCTCACACGTTTCGTGGCCCCATAGGGAGCTCCACCGAAGGCCCCAGTGGCAGGGTTCGCATGCCTCCCCACCACCCATTTCGGCACACCCCTCACACGTTTCGTGGCCCCATAGGGAGCTCCACCGAAGGCCCCAGTGGCAGGGTCCGCATGCCTCCCCACCACCCATTTCGGCACACCCCTCACACGTTTCGTGGCCCCATAGGGAGCTCCACCGAAGGCCCCAGTGGCAGGGTTCGCATGCCTCCCCACCACCCATTTCGGCACACCCCTCACACGTTTCGTGGCCCCATAGGGAGCTCCACCGAAGGCCCCAGTGGCTGCGTTCGCATGCCTCCCCACCACCCATTTCGGCACACCCCTCACACGTTTCGTGGCCCCATAGGGAGCTCCACCGAAGGCCCCAGTGGCTGCGTTCGCATGCCTCCCCACCACCCATTTCGGCACACCCCTCACACGTTTCGTGGCCCCATAGGGAGCTCCACCGAAGGCCCCAGTGGCTGCGTTCGCATGCCTCCCCACCACCCATTTCGGCACACCCCTCACACGTTTCGTGGCCCCATAGGGAGCTCCACCGAAGGCCCCAGTGGCTGCGTTCGCATGCCTCCCCACCACCCATTTCGGCACACCCCTCACACGTTTCGTGGCCCCATAGGGAGCTCCACCGAAGGCCCCAGTGGCTGCGTTCGCATGCCTCCCCACCACCCATTTCGGCACACCCCTCACACGTTTCGTGGCCCCATAGGGAGCTCCACCGAAGGCCCCAGTGGCAGGGTTCGCATGCCTCCCCACCACCCATTTCGGCACACCCTTCACACGTTTCGTGGCCCCATAGGGAGCTCCACCGAAGGCCCCAGTGGCGCGGTGCCTATGAGAAGAGGGGCCTAGTTTGCGTGCCCCCTCCTTCGTCTCATATCCGTGCGGTACTCGCAGCTGCATATGGTTGGGTCTTTCGCCAGGCTAATTTGACCGCGCCCCCGTCGTTGCAGCGGATGAGCGCAAGCTCTCTTCTGGTGGCTGACGGTGTCAGTGCGGTTGGCCGCTGAAAGGGGTGTTGGGGCCGAGCAGCTACATGCGTGGTCGCGATCGTGGCGGCCTTCTCTTTTGGCCACGCACCCTTCGTTTTAGCGGATGAGCGCAAGCTCTGTTCTGGTGGCTGATGGTGTCAGCACACTCGGCCGCTGAGGGTGTTTTGGGGTCTTCTCGTACTCGTATGAGGTCAAGCACCTGCGCGACCTCCCGTTCAGTTTTTGGCCGCCTTCCATTCGTTGCAGCGGATGAGCGCAAGCTCTGTTCTGGTGGCTGACGGTGTCAGCACACTTGGCCGCTGAGGGGGTGTTGAGGCCGAACAGCTACATGCGTGGTCGTGATCCTGAGCGACCTCGCTGCATTGGATTCTGAGTGTTGATGATATCTGGAGATTGTCTGGATATGTAATATTTTTGGTGGTTGTGAGAAGTATCTGGTCTTCTAAGTATCTGGTTTTCTACGACGACCACGTGTACTGGGTGTTCGCGCTCTGAGGGCCGCGGCTGGCGGTCAGGTGGACAGACGATGAACTCGAGTGGGCCCGTCCTCGGGCTCGCTCCGATGCGCTCGCGGAGCAGGAGGAGGAGGAGGAGGAGGAGGAGGCGGAGGAGGAGGAGGAGGAGGTAGGAGGAGGAGGAGGAGGAGGAGGAGGAGGAGGAGGAGGAGGAGGAGGAGAGGAGGAGGAGGAGGAGGAGGAGGAGGAGGAGGAGGAGGAGGAGGAGGAGGAGGAGGAGGAGGGGAGGAGGAGGAGGAGGAGGAGGGAGGAGGAGGAGGAGGAGGGAGGAGGAGGAGGTAGGAGGAGGAGGAGGAGGAGGAGGAGGAGGAGGAGGAGGAGGAGGGGAGGAGGAGGAGGAGGAGGAGGAGGAGTAGGGGAGGAGGAGGAGGAGGAGGAGGAGGAGGGGAGGAGGGAGGAGCAGGAGGGGGAGGTCGCCCCCCCCCCTCCCCCCACCCACACACCAGGAGCTGCGCGTTCAGGCGGCGCTGGAAGCGGCGGCCGCGGGCGCTGCCGGTGCGGGCGCGGAGGCCGACTGGCTGCGCCGTCTCGGGCCCGCCGCCAGGGCTGGGCTGGCGGCCACGCAGGTGCCGCCGGTCGGCGCCGGTTGGCAAGGGCCGCTCGAGTCCAGCGGGCCTGGCTGGAGCATCGTGGCGTGGTACAGGCGTCAGGGGCAACGTCAGAGGGTGCGATAGGCACGAGGTCCGAGGTTTTCGGGCGTTTTCGTCGGCGCTCGGTGGCCCTATAGCTTCGGGGTGCCTTACAGCGGCTGCGCGTCGCGGGGGGTGTCGGGGTCGTCCTGAGCGGCCGCTGCAGAGCCGAGCCACGGCCCGAAAGCCAGGGGGCAACGTTGGGGGGGATAGGCCGGGAGGTGATGCATCGACCCCCTATCGCCCATCCACTGCTGGTAGGGGGTCCAATGACCCACCCCGCCCAGGAGCGTGCGGCTTCGCTATCGGAGGCCAATCGCCGATCAGTCGGCGATGTGTCGCCGATTCCATCTCGATGCTTCCCCCCTGAGCCGGTTACCCCCTCACGTTGCCTTCAACAGGTGGACGGGGCCGACGTCGGTCGCCGCGGTGTGCCAGATTCCGGTGAACGCAGATCTGGCCAGCACGATTGCGCTCTGGCAGGAGGCGGACCTGATGCACAACTGGGTACCGTTCACGTCCGCCGTCGGGTGCACCTGGTCGGACAGCCTTCCCGCGCTGTTGCTGCGCATCAGGACCAAGGTCCCCATCTTGCCCATGACCTTCGGCACCCTCGTCCACCGCGCCTTTGTCGACGTCCCCGGCGACGGCAGCAGGCCGCACGGGGTGCTCATCGTAGACTGGACGCCTGGGCCAGAGGAGCTGAGCGACGGCCAGTACTGCGGCATGGGCGTGCCGGGCGCTCCGGCGGGAACGCAGATGGACGTCCAGCTGGCGAGCACCGTGGTGCAGCCCCTGGACGAGCGCAGGAGTAACGTCGTCATCACCAACGAGATCGACCTGAAGGTCTCCCGCTGGCTGCTCCCCGACGCCGTGCTGCGGAAGTTCCTCGTCATGCAGTCCAGGGTGATGGCGAAGGCGATCTGCCGCTGCGCGGAGGCCGCGGCGGAGCACGGGTACGGGGAGCGGGTCCGGCAGGATGCCCGCGGCCTCTACGCGGCGCTGCAGGGGAGGTTTCGCGGCGCGCGGGCCGCCGCGGCCGGCGCGTGACCGGCGCCGCGCCCGAGCGGCGACGCGCGGCGGAAAAGCAGGACATCAGCAGGAATAGCGTAAGACGCAAGCAGAACACAAGACACACACACACCATAAGGCATCAGCGTCATCACGTACAGCATCATAGTAGCACGGGGGCATGCTCATACTAACACGTGATAGCATAATGGCCTGAGCGGTGTCTCGCACACGGGTGTGCACGTCGGTCTTTGATTGCCAGCTCCTACTCCACTTCAAGCGCCACCCATTTCAATCATCGAACTGTTTTTGTTGTGTTTGTTACTCTTTGGGCGGGCTCGAACCCGGGCTCGAACCCGCCCCAGCGGCGCAGCCAACGGAGCGCCTCTCCTTGTGGGGGCTGATTCTGGCGGACAGACAGGCGCCGAACATGTCGATGGGGCTACCGTAATGCGACCATGGGGATGCACCGGCGGTGGGGTCTTTGGCGCCTCTCCAGGCGCGCCCGCCGGTGGCGCGGTCGCAGGGGTGGACGGTGGCGGCCGCCCCCCTTCTGAGCCCCGCTTCGGAGGACCGCACGACGACATCGACCCGCGAGTGCGAGACGCTGGCATGCTCCGGCGGCTGCAGCGCGACGACGGTGATCGGCTTCGAAAGCGACGACCAGAGCCGCGGGCCGTCCGCTGCCCGTGTATCGGTGGCCGCGGACATGACGGCGCCTGCGAGTCTTCCTCCTGGCCCTGGGCGTCTCGAGCGCGCTTCCCACGGCTTCGCTTTCTGCGGCCTCCTCGAGGCCCCCAGCGATGGCGCTGGCTCAGCTCGCGCAGGCAACTGCTCCAGCGCCCCGCCCGCCGCCCTCCCTGAGATGGATTCCGAGAGCCACTGGTGTCGCCAAACGTCGTGGACGCAGTCTGCAGTGGTCGGCGCTTGCCCGCGCGCCCATGATGGGCGGTTCCCTGGCGAAAGGGCGCCCGCCGACTTCCGCGAGGTCCTTGGGTGGCCCGCCGAACATCCCGACAACGGTCCGTTGACCCCAGCAGAGCGGCGGAGGTGCTACTCAATGGTGTCCTGGTGCGCGTGCCGAGTCGTGGGCTCCACGCGCTGGAGCAACTGGTCCTCTTCTGTGCAGGCTCGAGGGCGACGGCAACGTGCTGTTTCGTTTTCCTGACCGTGGCGGGATACCTGCTCGTCGCCTGTCTGATGGCGGACTGGCGGCCCTTCCAGCGCGCCGCAAGCATGGAGGTGATTGTTCCCGATGCCGCGAGCCCTCTGTGCGGGCATGGTGTGGGCCACCCATTGGTCTCACAGCGCGACGGCTCCATGGGCGCGACGAAAAGGGATGACTCCCATCCAGTGCGGCGACTCCGACGACCAGTTCGTCATTAACGGCGACGCCGTGGCCAGCGGACTGCGTGGGGATCCTGAGAGCCTGCCGGGACCTGGCAGCGGTCCCCCCAGGGACGTGGGATTTTGGGAGCCTTTCGGGACCTCTTCGGGGGTGTCTTGGAGCTCTTCGATTCAGACAGGGGTCGGCTTCAATTGGCACCGCCCCTCGGTAAAACAGGCTTCTTGGGGCGCTCTGGGGGCGTTATTGAAGGTCGTGGGTGCCATCCTTGCGCACTTCTGGTCCCTTTTGGTACTTTTGTCGACAGTCCTGGGGCCATCTAGAGTCCTTGGATGCTAATCGGAAGCGAATGTGCGAGCAGGCAACCTTCGTTGACAAACGTCAAGTGCTTGAAGGACTTGACCTCTCGGGAGCACTCTTGGGAGGCTCGGCCGGTTGGGGCCGCCCCAGGGCCTTTGAGAGGTGTGCTGGAGGCCATGGCGGTCCAAACTGAGAGAGCACTTGACCTCGGATGTGAGGGGGTGAGAAGGGACCCTCTTTTGGCTAGGGCGCGGCGAGGACAGAAGTCCGCCCCCCCCTGGCCGCGTGGCGGGCGGGTGCCCGGGGTGTCCCGCAGTGGTGTCCCGATGGTGTCCTGGGGTGTCCCGTGGTGTCCCGTGGTGTCCCGCGGTGTCCCATGGTGTCTCGCGGTGTCCGGTGGTGTCCCATGGTGGTGTCCTGTGATGATGTCCCGTGGTTCTCCGTGGTGACCCGTGGTGTCCCAATGGTGTCCCGTGGTGTGCCGTGGTGTCCCGTGGTGTCCAGCGGTGTCCCATGGTGTCTCGCGTTGTCCTTGGGTGTCCTGTGGTGTCCCGTGATGGTGTCCGTGGTTCTCCGTGGTGACCCGTGGCGTCCCGCGGTGTCCCGCGGTGTCCAGCCGTGTTGTCCCGATGGTGTCCCGTGGTGTCCCATGGTGTCCCATGGTGTCCTGTGCTTCCCGCGGTGTCCCGCAGTGTCCCGTGGTGTCTCGTGGTGTCCCGTGAGATCGATAGTGAGATCGATAGTGAATGCGGTAGTGGTATCGGTATTGTTTTCGAGAGTGAGTTCAATAGTGAAATCGATATTCAAGACGCTTCGCGTATCCCCACCAGCCATTTTTCGGGACTGGAGGCTCCCCTCACCCCTCAGCCCCTGCCTGGCTCTGTAGATGGCCTGGGGTACTGCACGACCTTCAGCAAGGGCGCTCCCGCGCTATCAGTTGCTTTTGCCGCCGTTGGTCACTCCTCGGCTCCGTAGTCTCCTCGCCCGTGGCATCGCATCCTGCTGTAATGGCTTCGGGCTTGCTGCCCAGTTACGATAAGTACTGTGAGTTCAGCAAGGTGCGGACGGTCTACTACTTGTTCCACGGCTGAGCCTCGGCTTCAACTCTTCTCGTTCTCTTTCCGTCTCTCGTCGCCGCCCCTCCTTTCTTCGTCCCTCTTTCCCTTCTTCCTCTGTTGTTCGCTCTTTCGCCTTCTCCTCTGTTTTCTTCGATCGCCCTCGCCTCTCTGCCGCGTTGCCGATGTGCTTCGCCCGGTAGTTCTCGCCACCCCAGTGGCCCCCTTTTTTCGCGCTTCGCTGGCGACAGTTGCGCTGTGCGCCTCGGCCCTGTGCTGTTCGACTCTTTGACGCCGCGCGGGTACCCGCCTGCGGTCGCGATCAAAACCCGTCCCCGCCAGCCTTGCCCGGCGTCCGACTCGCTTCGTGCGCCTGTGAACCCAAAAGTATTCCCGCCAGCCCATCCAGAAACGATGTCCAGGCGAGTTGAGGTGATCAGGGAAATGCTGGAACAAAGAGGGGGGCGGCCGAACCGTGCGAAGGAAGGAGGAGGAGAAGGAGGAGGCTTGATGGATGGATGAGGGAGTGGCGAGAAGGAGTATGAATAGGAGGGGGAGGAGGAAGAGGAGGAGGAGGAGGAGGAGGAGGAGGAGGAGGAGGCGGAGGAGGAGGAGGAGGAGGATGAGGAGGAGGAGGGAGGAGAAGGAGGAGGGGAGGAGGAGGAGGAGGAGAGGAGGAGGAGGGAGGAGGAGGAGGAGGAGGGAGGGGGAGGAGGGGAGGAGGAGGAGGAGGAGGAGGAGGGAGGAGGAGGAGGAGGAGGAGGAGGAGGAGGGGAGGAGGAGGAGGAGGAGGAGGAGGAGGAGGAGGAGGAGGAGGAGGAGGAGGAGGTCGGAGGAGGCGGAGGGAGGAGGCGGCGGAGCGGAGGCAGGTAGGAGGAGGAGGCGGAGGAGGAGGAGGAGGAGGAGCGGGAGAGGAGGAGGAGGAGGAGGAGGAGGAGGGAGGAACAAGGAGGAGCAGGAGGAAGAGGAGGGCAAGCAAAAGGGCCTGAGGTCTTCTTGATGCCTCTTCAGAGCCTTTTTGGAGCTCTCTTGGGCGCTTCTTGGTACCCTCTTGGGACGTCTTGGGGGTCTCTTGGCGGTCCTGGGGGGGGCGTTTGGGCGTCTTGGGTGCCTCGGGGGGGCCTCTTCGGAGCCCCTTGGGGTGCTGTTGGGGGCCTCCTGGGGCCTCTTGAGAGCCTCTTGGGGCCATCTTGGGAATGGGGCCAAAACCATGGTAAAAAACAATGATTTTGGCTTCCTTCGGGGGGGCCTCTTCGGAGCCCCTTGGGGTGCTGTTGGGGGCCTCCTGGGGCCTCTTGAGAGCCTCTTGGGGCCATCTTGGGAATGGGGCCAAAACCATGGTAAAAAACAATGATTTTGGCTTCCTTGCCGAGGCCGTTTTGGACGCTCGTTTTGGACGCTCCAACGACCTGCGAGCGGCCGGGTCCAGGTCCATTGGATGGGGTAAGGGGGAGGGCCAACCCCTCCCCGACGAAGGGGACGAGGGATGGGTGGAAGAAGAAACGCTCTAAACCACCCACGCACAGAGGGCTGGTGGGATTGAGATCGATAGTGGGATCGATAGTGAGACCGATCGAGAGATCGATGGTGAGACCAATAGTGAAATCGATAATGCTATCGATCGTGAAATCGATATAGTGTGATCGATAGTGAGATCGATAGTGCAACCGATAATGACATCCATAGTGAGATCAGTAGTGGGTTCCATAGTAATACCGATATTGCGATCGATAATCTTATCAGGTATGATATAGATACCAGGCCGATAGTGAGTGAGATAGATCCTGAGTTCGATAGCTGGATCAGGCACCCAGGCGAGAGGCGTACCGAGGAGAAGGGGGCCATCTCCTCTTCCTCCTGCTCCCCCCCCAGATCAGCCAGTAGTCGCAAAGTTACCTGCCAGCCATTTCCTGGACAATAGTGACCTTCGGAGTTTGATGTATTTTGCTTCGGCGCCAGCGGGCGCCGCCGGCCTCATGGAAGGGCCGCCCGTGCTGCGAGCCTGTTGTGCTTTCTTATTATGTTTATTGTTTGTTTGCTTTGTCTGCGGACTTAGATGTTGAGTATTTCCTTGTGGTTTGGTCCGCGACCTGCAGAAGGAGAGTCGGAGGCAGGGACAAGGGTTGAGGAGCAAGTAGGCGGAGGACGTCAGGGAGCAGGAGGGAGGAGGAGGAGGAGGAGGAGGAGGAGGAGGAGGAGGAGGAGGAGGACGGAGGAGGAGGAGGAGGAGGATTAGGGGAAACAGCAGGAGGGGGAGGAGGAGGAGGAGGGGAAGGAGGAGAGGAGGAGGAAGAAGAGGAGTAGAGGTAGGAGGAGGAGGAGGAGGAGGTGGAGAGGAGGGAGGAGGAGGAGGAGGAGGAGGAGGAGGAGGAGG